AAGCCCCCTTTATCCCTGCCCGAAATCAAAGCTTCACAAAGTACAAACAATTCCTCCAAAGACCTTCGGAGTCACGGCTTCCAACCAAAAGCCGGTTTAGGGTTTAGGGTCCAGGATCGAAGGCTCCGGGATCAGAGGTTTAGGATACTTTAGGTATCTTGTGATCTGCGGCTTCGGGCTTAGTATGGCTCCCAAGGACACTGACGCAAGCTACAATCATAACCGCTATGTCGGATTCCATGCTTTCTACTACGTAGGCACTTACGAGCTTCTGGCTCCTCGATCGCAAAAAACTAAGAGAGGTGCTGGCCAGGTCCGACGGTGAACTCGGTCTCCTCCATTTAAAGACGATTCGATAGTCTTGAAATCGAAATCGTGTGGTTGTGTTAAGCCTTGGTGCCTAACATTTCGGGCTTGTGAAATCGACTGGGGTGTTGGGGTTGTTCCTACTCTAGGGAACCCTAGAGACTAGCACCCTTGTACATTCTTCAGACCCATGCAATACGTCTTAAACCCTGAGGGTTTCGCGTCTTTCAGATCGCGGGATCGGGGACCTGAGAATTCGAGTGCGTAGGGTTTTGGTGTATAGTTTACGACGATAAGTAGACGTTGGCCTCAATGGGATTCATATATTGGACTAGAGGCTCTAGGGTCAGTACATCTGGTACATGAACTCTTTGGGGGTTGCAGCAGTACAGGTTACAGATTACTCGTACCTCCATATTCGAAGCTTTCAGAATATCAGGCGGGGAATCCTGGCCCAGAATATTTTGGACTATGGCTGACACATACAAGAGCAATATACCCGCAGCCCTTCAGCCTCATTCCAGAACCCTTGGACTTATTCTCTTTCCGAACATGTTACGTTGGCATGCCATAAAGCTTTGGGGCCCTGACCCTTTTACACGGGCTTGATTGGAGCTCGCCAGGCCAGGTTCCCCGCAGCACATCGCACTGGCGGCCTAACCCTAAACCCTGAACTTTTACCTCTTCAGTGTGCTTAAAAAGTACAGCCGGATTATGTCGCTGGCCCAACTACAGAACTGTTGTAGTTCATTCCTTGCAGTGCCCCATTCCAGAAACCGCCCTTTATGGCAACCTTCCCTGGCCTAGATAGAGATACGAGTGCTGCAGTGGTATTGTGGCATATTGTGGTACTATGCAGGAATCTATATTCCACACACATATTAAGTGCTAAACCAGGTCCTTTTTTGGAACTGGCTTGCAATGTCATCCCAAACCCTGAACCCGAAACCCCCAAACCGTGCTCAGCCCAATGCCGGCATCTGAGGGCAAAGCGGGGGCCCAGCGCACATGCTGCTTGCCCCCATAGATCTGCTCATCTCCAAAGGAGGAGGCCTGTTTGGGCTTTAGAGGTTTAGGGCTTTGGGTCTTAGGGTTTTTGGGGTTTGGGGGCTTAGGGCTTTGGGTTTAAAAGTTGAGGTATGTGGTCTTACAGTAGGGTTTCTGGGGCTTGGGTTTTTTTCTCGCTCGTTGCACTCCGCAGCCGTAGGCTCCGCATGCACTTAATTCGAAAAACCCCGGATGGACGCCATCCGCCGGGTGCCCTGATTCCTTTGGAAGCAGGTTACAGGCTTTACCCAGCCTTGGCTGGACGCCAGCCAGCAGGCTCCTGGAGCCGCTGTTGGCTTCTGGAGAGGCCCGCTCAGGTAGACAGGTCCCCCTCCTCGGCGTCTCGCGTTAGCCTCCGCGAGGGAGTCATTCTGAGCTGACCCCCTGACTGCGTTGCCACGCCTTGCTGGTTGAGGAACCCAGCAAACCGCCCCGCTTGGGCAGCAAAGTGCTCAAAAAGAGCCGGTAGGCTCGCGTTGGGCCAAAAGCCGTTCAAGGCCGCCGCCGCCACCCCATTGGGGGTATGGCAAGCTTGACCAGCTCCCCAAGTCGTAGAACCGGACACTGTTATCCGTATTCAAGCCCAGCTTGGAGATTGGGGGGTTTTTGACACTCACACTCGGACAAGCCTGGCGTAGCAACACTGGTCCAGTAGAAAGACAAGGCAATACAGACATCAGTACATGTGACCGTGTCCAGTGTTGTCAGGCAGGACTCGGAAAAACGCCACCTACAACTACCAAACAATAGAGGTTAGTCCATCTGCCAACAGACTTTCCCATGGTCAACGAACCTAAACCCAAAAGGACCCAAACCCTAGTTTAGACCAAGAGAAGATTCCAGTGAGACCAGTTGGAGTTACACGCACTACACATTGCCTCCTCAACCGTCGCAGGTCACTTGCATCTTTGTCGTCACTCATGCTTCATGCAGGATCGGTCATAGTCGTCTGATTGCACCAAGAGCCATCATGCAAAGAGCATCCATTTGCACCTAATTCCGGCATGCAGAGCGGCGTACAGCTCGCGATCCATGGGACACTGGTCCAG